CTGCACGACTGTGTGAGGTGGACTGCATAGTCACTGTGGGCGACCTGTGGCACCATATTCACAACCAGGTGACAGCTGCTGCCATGGAGAAGTTCGGGCGTGCAAACTGTAAACGGCCTGATTATTTTGATGAGAACAATACGACGAATGGTGCACTGGTGTGTGAGAAGAATGCGACATTTGATGCACCTGGTGCAGACCCCAGTGACTTGGGGCAGAAGAGTCAGTTTCTCAAAGTTCGACTGCGACTGACCCGAGAGCTCCGGAGCATTAGAATGCATGGTGGACGGAGACGGCTAGGCAGATGGAATACTAGGCCGAACGTATGCAGCACTATAAACCTTTTGACTCCTTGAAGGCGATGTATGGACCGAGGTTGGAGTCTTTGAGGACGTTGAGCGATGTTAGTTAAGGCGCTACCTGTAAAAATACAGCAGACGTAAGGCAGATCAAGTAAAAATAATTTGACTGTCTCTTGAACAGCAGTTCAAAGATAAATAAATAAATAAATAAATGGTATATTCTCTGTAAAACGAGACACACCTCTAAAAGGCATGAGCAAATATGCATACAAGCATAGCATCTTTAGAATATTAAAACATTTCGAAGCAATGAAAGGAATAAATGAAAAGATGTAGTTCATATGAGCGAGCATATTGTCCGATAATAGTCAGATCAAGGACCATGATGGCGCTGTGGCGCGCAAAAACTGTTGCGTCAAGATAAAAGTTGTGGGGTAAATTTGCCATGAAGTGATTCATGAGCACAGGAGCCCAAACAAGGTTTAGTGCAACCAATGACCATTACGAAGCCGGGATGATCGGTACTCCACTAAAGCATTCTTCATAGTAAAATCAGTTGCACAGGTTGGATGTAGGAGGCCGAGGACTGCGTCAGTGTGAAAGGCATAGCTGTGACTTTATTTTGTGGCGAGTCACATCCGCAACGTTGCAGTGTTGTTAAGCGGACATTTGTGGCTTTTTATAGGAAGAACGCTTGCCAGGCGAAAACCTACCACGTCCTGGAACACTGTCGTATATTCCGTTGAACTGTAGTGCTAGACGGCTATGCACCGTATAGACCGAATTTTGCACTCTATTGTTCGCAGTCGGTTGACAGCCAGATCGACTGGCCTACATTGAACGGGCCGAAGTAGCACGATTTGTAGGCTAGTCTTGCGGACTCGCAACTACTGGATGAGACACAGTGAGCATTTGCTCAGCTGCGAAATGGCAAATGTGATGGTGTCGACGGGATTTTGCCTGAAGTAGTGAGGCAGGGCGGACCGGCGCTGCTGACTGCGCTTCGCCACTTAGTGCAAAGCGCAGGGACTGAAGAGGAGGTGACTGCTGAGCTGATGGAAGCCCTTGTGTTACTACTGCACAAGGGCAAGGGAGTAAGCCAGTTTGCACGAATTATCGTGGCATCAACTTGTTGAGGTGTGCGGAAATGGTGATTGCCCGCCTCCTGCTCAATTGCCTCGACAGTCAGGTTGTGGAAGCTAAATTTGCGAAGAGCAGTGTGGATTCTGATAGGGTCGCAACAATATAGGTATCGTGTCTGCGGCTCGTTAGTTGCAGGAGAAGTGCAGGTAACCACACCCCCGGTGGTACTCGTTTTCGTTGAGTCTGCCAAGGCAGTTGATACGGTGTACCTTCTGGCATTGTGACGTGTTTGGTAACTTTGGTTGCCCGCGTAATTTTGTAAGTTACTTGCATGTCTGCGCAGTGGTACGCGGGTGAGGGTGAAACTGAGGGTAGAGACCTCGGAGGACTTTGCCGTTCTCACTGGTGTGATGTAAGCCTGTGTCTTCACTGCCGTCTTGTTTAATGTTTCTCTATGTAATAATGCCTGGTGCTTTAGGTCCGGCTTCTGCTTCCGGTGTTCTTGTGTAGCAACATATGAATGGTTGTTTGCTGAACATCCGTCGTTTCGTTTTAGTGACTCTTCTCTTTGAGACAATTATACTTACATTTTTGATGTTTTCTTAACAAGATCACGCCGGTAAAATGGTGTACCTCGCATTGGCAAGAATAATTTTATTTACTTATGTATGCTGCTTTTGCTGACGACTGTGCATTGTTTTCGCACAGCGCAGGAGAGTTGCAGCCCATTACTAGTGCTCTGGCTTCGACAGCGGCCATATTTGAGCCCACCATCCACACCAACTACACTCTGTCTCTTTCAGCCTTCAGCGGAGGTGCAATCATCAAGGTTGGCAAGAATGAACTGTAGCTGAATTTTCAGAGTCTACCTCCAGCTTATGCTACCTTGGGAGTGTGATGTCAACTGACTAGCAGAATGACTGGGAGCTTCGTATCCGCGTTTTAAAGGCAGCAGCGTCATGCGTGAAGCTAGAATACCGAGGGTTAAATAACAATCAGCCGACGGTTGGCACGAAACTGCTTGTGTACAAATACGTGGTTCTGTCCGTTCGACTATACGGCGGTGAACCGATGAAGAAGTACCGGTGAAAGGTGAGGTACATCGATCGGTTTTA